ATGGTCATTACGCACATGCATTCACATGCGCACGCAAAATTTGAATGAACTTTGTACACTTCTGAGTAAACGTTATTAAAGTCTCAAATGCATCGAGTTTGTCTTATTTAATGAAGCTTACAGGGAATATGGCACCAAAAGGGAGTTGGGGAGCGTTTGGGGAACATCTGTAACGGTCCCCGTTACAATTAGCACTAGTTATTATTATGTTCCCCAAACGAAGTTGGGGAACATATTGTTTTTACTCTGTTTCTTATTATTATTCTTTTTTCTTCTTATTTCTTCTCCGGACTTTTTTGTCCGCGAGTGTTCTCAGAAACTGTTCACACAACCGAGCTAAAACCTTTTTAGGGTTAATAGGTGTGTAGTGTAGGTGTGCGGAACGAAGGTCATTTTGCGCGCATACGCCTGCACGTGTGTGCGCGTGAAGTGAGTGAAATGACTGATATACTTAATATAGTTATAACTTTTACATTTTTTGATGGAATGATTTGAAACTCATTATATAAAGATATATTAATAGTGTAGATAATGTGACACTGTCAAATTAGCACCAACTCACGCGCATGCACGTGCGCTTCGTTCTGATTGGCTGGAACAAAAATCTCAATATCTTTTCTGTTTATCGAGGAAATGCTTTGAAATTTAAAACATAGGCATACTTTAGGATGCCCTATAATATGATATATAATAATTGTCATGAAAGCACGTGCATGCACGTGCGCTGCAATCTGATTGGCTTAAACTTTAAATGGCTATAACTCCCTTGTTTTTCAACCAAACAGCATGGGATTTAGATCATAGACAGACATTATGGACTCCTAGAAGAAGATATTGTCATCATGAACATGCTTGCACGTGCATTAACGTGCGCTTCGCTCTGATTGGCTGAAACAATATTCTCAATATCTTTTTTGTTATTTGACGAAATCCTTTGAAATTTAAAACATAGGCATGCTTTAGGATATCCTAAAATATGATATATAATAATTTTCATAAAATCACGCGCATACACGTGCGCTTCAATCTGATTGGCTTAAATTTTTAATGGCTATAACTCCCTTGGTTTTCAACCAAACGGGACGGGATTCAGAACATAGATAGACATAATAGACTCCTACAAAAGGGTATGGTCATCATGCACATGCATACACGTGCGTGCACGTGAAATGAGTAAAATTACAAATACACTAGATTAAACATATTTTTAGATTAAATGCTGTAATATTTAGTATATTAAAATATATAAATCATGTAGACAAAATGATATGGTCATTACCACATGCATTCAAATGCGCATGCGTGCAATGCTGAAACTAAATACTTTTGGATTTAACTTTGTTAAAGTCTAAAATGTATCGCGTTTTTCGTATTTAATGTAACTTTCTGAGAATATGGAAGAAAAGGGAGTTGGGGAGCGTTTGGGGAACATCTGTAACGGTTCCCGTTACAATTAGCCCTAGTTATTCTTATTTTTCTTCCTGGGAAAATTTTGTCCGCGAGTGATCTTGTAAACTACACATCAGACTAAGGTGAAATGTTTTTAGGGTCAGTAGACATGTAATGTAGATTTGCGGAACGAAGGTCATTTTGCGCGCACGTGCTTGCAAGAGCGCGCACGTGCAACATGATAAATGACCGATTACATTGATATAGATGTAACTTTTTAAATTTTTGATGAAATGCTTTAGAACTCATAATATAAGGATACATTAGAAGTATAGACAATATGACATGGTCAAAATAGCAAGATCTCACGCGCATGCACGTGCGCTGCACTCTGATTGGCTGAAACAAAAATCTCAATATCTTTTTTGTCTTTTGACGAAATGCATTGAAATTTTGATTATAGCCATGCATTAGGATATCCTACAATATGATATATAGCAATTATCATGAAAACACGTGCATGCACGTGCTCTGCAATCTGATTGGCTTAAACTTTAAATAGCTATAACTCATTTGGATTTCAACCAAAGACGATGGGATTTGAAATATAGATAGATATTATGAACTACTACAAGAAGGTATGGTCACCATGCACATGGATACACGTGCATGTACGTGCACTGCAATCTGATTGGCTGAAACTTTAAACATCTATAACTCCCTTGGTTTCCAACCAAACAGGATGGGATTTGGAACATAGATAGATATAATGGACTACTACAAGAAAGGTATGGTTACCATGCACATGCGCACGTGCATGTACGTGCGCTGCAATCTAATTGGCTGAAACTTTTAACAGGTATAACGCCCTTGGTTTTCAACCATATGGGGTGGGATTTAGAACATAGATAGATGTAATAATCTTCTACAAGAAGGTATGGTCACCGTGCTCATGTATGCACGTGCGTGCACGTGAAATGAATAAAGTCAAAAATACACTTGAATGAGCGTATTTTTATTACTTTTGGATTAAATACTTTAATTTTTAGTTTATCAAAATATATGGATTGTGTAGACAAAATGATATGGTCATTACGCACAGGCATTCGCATGCGCACGCATGCAATGCTAAAATTTGAATGAACTTCGTACACTTCCAGGTAAATGTTAAAGTCTCAAAAACATAGAGTTTGTCTTATTTAATGAAGCTTACAGGTAATATGGCACAAAAAGAGAGTTGGGGAGCGTTTGGGGAACATCTGTAACGGTCCCCGTTACAATTAGCACTAGTTATACTTTATGACGTTACTCGACTCCTCTCGACAAGAAGCTGTTTTTGAATTAAAGTGAAAACATGATTGTAGCATTCTATTTCTCCATGAAGAAACAAGCCTCATTGAAGCCATTATGTACATGTAAATGGACAATATTTGGAACATTATCTTAAATGGTATAGTTCAAAGTATCTTATTCCTTAGGTGAATGCCAAGCAAATTTACTTTTGCACTCAATATACACGAGTAATTTTTTCACTGTATGAACAGAGCTAGAGTGGAGTGTACTGTTTAACTGCTTGTTAAACGCCACAGTTGCGCTTATGGGACCTTTCGGATGCGTGCTCGTTTACTCTAAGGTGAGCCATAAGGATAACTTCTTGACGTGTTTAACAATACTCTTTATTGAGCTATTTCATTTAAACATTTTTAGATCTTAAGAAAAAAAATACATGTATTCCGTGAATAACATTATATAATGTCGAAAAACAATCAACTGAACGATTCTGCTATATCTGAACGTACAAGTTCATGTTTGTATCATGAAGAAACAGGTCCTATAACCAACTCTTGTTAGTAATAACAGGTTCTCTCAAACTCTCCTTCTCGATTTTTATACATTTCAAGATACACTCAGCAAACCAACTGTCTCTTTATCATCAAAAAATGAGGAAGTCAAGCATAAGAAAAACCGGTTACTAACTCGCTCTGGTTATAGAATCTTTGTTTCTCATTGCAGGTCAATCGCACGCAGTAAATTCGTTTAATCCTTTATGGGTTATAATAAAATTGTAGACCGAAAAGATTATCCTTTTTTCTTCCGTTTTCTTTAAAAGTTCTTTAATAGAGGGGTACAAACTTCGTTTCGGAGATGAATTTGTTAACGGAATAATTAATCCCGCCCTGTACGTCCATTACTTCATTATATATCCTGGAGTGGCTAAAAGCGTCATTTTTATTACCTAACTTAGGCCCCCATTCAGGAGTATGTTGCTTCCTTAAGATAATAACTTTCTTAAAGAATTAATTTTCCTGACAGTAGAAGCGCAGTAATACAGTAATAGCAATCAGACTACACCATAAAACGGGTAACTTGTCAATTTCTCCTGGCGAGTTTGACGTCTGCATGTGTTATAGCGTGAGATGAAAGACACTTTGATGGCACTTTGAATCAGCCTTAAAAATCACTTGAGAAGAAGGAGAAGAAAAAGACATAATCTGCAACTTCACACCTCACAGAAAGTCTAATTTAGGATTAGCCCGCATTCCTGATAATTGCTCATGAAATTTTAAACTTTTGACTAAAAATAGATATTGCCATAAAAGTCTTTTAAGATTCCTTACGTTATTTAAATAATAAATATTCAATGTGTAGCTATTTTTTTGTGTTTAACGAACATAGAATAAACAGGTGGGGGGAGGAACTTCCAATATTTTTGGATCCATAGCTATCTTACTACCTCACTCTCTATAGAAAAATTAAAGTTTATATTTACATGCACATCTCATATTTCGTAATACAAATGCTTGGGTTACTCTCAATTTTGTTGGTTTTGTTTTGTTTTTGTCACCATTTTTTTCTTCAAAAATCAGAATTAAATATTTGTATAGTGCATTGTTTTATCTTTTAAATAACAATTTAATTGATCATAAGAACATAGTCATATTATACTCTTACCTCGACTTATGAATTACAGTTTAATAGATTTAATAATAAAAGGATACACAGCTCGATTGTATTTAAAGACATAATGATACCCATATAAAATTATGTAATAAAAGAACAATTTGCACGTTCTAAAGTATTGCCAACACATAAGTATATTTATCACGGATTTTTTCCCTTTAAAGTTAATTTTGCTAACCCCCTCACCCACCCCCTTCTCGAAAAAGAAACATAATTGGTTCGTATGACGGTTATTCAGGTCGAGGGTTTATAACAGGGAGCAGACGTCAGGACTAATCGAACACAATTGTCCTTATTTAAACATGTCTGTTATAAAAAAGGAGAAATATAGCAAAGGCAATTAATTGAATGCTTGAGATTGGAATTCAATATATTTACACATTTTAAGCTAAATCGGGGTTTCTCCCATAAATTACACATTGTGTGGCATTTGCCCTATTTTACAATTTTCTACGAATAGAATTGATTTTTACATGAGTAGGTCGATAAATTAAAGATAATAATGCCAGGTTCATTAATAATGCTTTATAATTTTCCTGATTGCCAAAGAAATTTTATGGAACAAAGGAGCGGTCACGAAACCCTTAAACACGTTTTTTTTTAAATAAAGGGGAACTATAACCACGTTAAGGTCGGTTGTTAGTACTCACCAAAGGTGTAAAGGGTCATAGGAACGCAACCTGGACACGAAACCTCTACCAACGTTGCAACGTGATATGGTAACCATGTAATGATAAAAGCAAATAAAATGGCGCTCAGGGTTTTGGCAGCTTTCTTATCTTGTTTTCGTTCAGTTCGTTTCTTTCTAGCTCTTTGTTGTTGTTTTACTTTGAGTGCAGCTTGTTTAGCAATTTTTGCCTGCTGAGCAGTTCTATTAGCGTCCGTGTACCTAGTCCGTCGTCCCAGCGCCGGGGTTCCTTTCGGTAATGGAATAGACTCACTACTCGACACTAACCCTTCCTCGGCGGATATACGCTCTATTACTTCCTCCGAAATTTTTTCAAGTTCATAATCAGATTTCCGATTTGGTCCCAATTTGTATTTTTGATTGACTTCTTGCGTGTCTGCAGTCATCTGAATGGATGGACTAGGGGTTATGTTAATTGATTCCTCCCTAGGGATATTAATGACAATAGTGTAGAGTTCATCAGTATCATCGAGAAGTGGACTTTGACATTCATTGGTCATCGCCGATAAATCTGTGTTCGCACTTGACGTTTTGGTTAATGATTCCGGAGAAGTGATGGCAGAGGACGCTCGACTCGAACCCATCGCAATTAGCGGAATAACGAATCCATTTGAGCGAGAAGGCCCCCCATTTCGGTGGCAACCATTGGCGTGTTTAGATGGTTGCGCTGGTCTGCCTGTCGACTCAACTTCTAAGCTCAAAGGCAAAGCTTGGTCACTGCTACTCAGCTCATCGCAGTCGTCATCGCGATCTATTTTACAGCAAAACCAACGAGAACACGATCTGTCATTTTGGGCCAGGCTTTCTGCTAATTCATACATGTCATCCAGTTCTAGAGACGAGGATCGTGGAGAATACATCAAGTTTTGTTCCTGTGATAAACTTTTCTTGAATCCCTTGAAGTCTTTTGTTGCCAACAGCATTGGCATTCTTTTTTGTCTTTTTTCAGTTTCTTTATATATTTTAAAATAAAGAAAACACATTAGTGCAACAGGAAGCCAAAAAGCAACAAAATGTGTCCCTATCGTCACATATATGTTTGTATAAATAAACTGAATATAACACTCGTTTTCTGGAACAGATCGAACCCCCTCAATGTATGGCCATGCAAAAATCCATGGCGGCCATAACAGCAAGGATATTAACCATACACATCCAATCATAATTCCGACCTTCTTAGTCGTTCGCTTTGCACGGTAAGTCAGAGGTCTAGTGACAGAGAAGTAACGGTCAAAACTAATCAACATTAAGTTTGCAGCCGAAGCATTACTCATCAAATAGTCCAAGGATAACCAGAAATCACAAAATACTGGGCCCAGGGGCCATTCCCCCATAATAATATACACAGAATACAGAGGCATGGATACAAACCCAATCGTCATGTCCGCAACAGCTAAACTTAACAGAAAGTAGTTACTTATTGTTTGTAGCTGTTTATCCATTTTGAAAGCTATTATAACCAGCAAGTTACCCCCTATAGTCAGGATGGAAAGAATCGCACATAAGGATGCTATTACGATTATTTCTGCTAGAGTCTTTCCAGGTTTGGTGACAGTATTTAAAACGTTTTCCGTTGAACAATTCACAAGCGATGTATTCCCAAATGAACAATTTGGAAGTAAAAAGGAAAGATTTTGAGACACTATCACAGAAATATTATCCGACTTATTTAACAAATCTATTTCACTACAGTTCATTTGTGTATGAGAAAAATTTTCAAAATTACACTCGTTGTTAAGTACAGCTTCGGAGGTCGACACCATTAAGTTATCCCATGACACATTCTCAAGACCCATTCCTGATTTTTGTTACAAGAGGTAAAACGGTACTAAATACTTCAAAAAATCCCAATCACAACAACCCGTATGCCTTCCCCCCTCCTACAGGAAGGAAATTCGGATCCACATTTCACACAGGTAATTTTACAAAGAATAATTTGCAACGACTCCCTTAGGTAAATTCCATGGAATACAAAACATTCTTTACGTAGTTATTTCTTTATCCTCAATTTCATTCAAACAAACGTTTCTATGGCTATTTCCATAATTGTTAAGCACCGAATCATTGCTGCTTAGTCCGCAAGATAAGAAAGGGTCAGAATTCCAACTGTGGTCCTAGGTTCTCGCGTTATCCCGGAATTTCTCGAATACTTCATGGCTCTCCTCTGTCTCTTTCATTATGAAAGAAATCTTTTGTCTGAAATTAAAAAGTATCGATCTTAGTCATTTTGAACGTGCAGTCCATGAACTGTGCATATAAATTAAACCTTATACAAAAGACTAGCTTACGATGCTATCAATATAGGAACAACTTAGGACAATACAAGAAATTAAGCATCTGAAAAAGACGCTAGAATGTACATGTATATGCTTATTGGAATGATGCTAAAAACTCAGATTCTCTTCTTTTTGAAATTTATTTTGTCTCTTTAGTGATATTTAGGGTACAACAAAAAAAAGTCAATTAATCAAACACATCACTTAGATCTATATATGTTATGTGCATGTTTCAACTGAATAGAATTTTCGAGGAAGTAAAACAAACTTATAGAACAAAAGCGCTGAAGTAAAAACTAAACATAGGAATAGTATAATATATTTTCCCTTGAAACCTTTTGATTTCTATTCTCGTAGAATACTTCAATAAATTTATAATTAACACAGAGATGTGTCCCAGAATTAAAATAGTACTATAAACCCTATCCCCTCCAAGAATGATTTTCAAAGCTTTAGGGAGTTTTACAAGTACATTAGAACATTTTCCTAATAATGTAGGATTAAACAATCGTTTGTTTCTTTGTAGACTGATAGATGTACTACGCTAAAAACGTAGGAACTTTTGAAGATTTTTTTTTCAAAATCATTCCTCTTTTTTTCTTACTGGAAATATCAAACCAATTATTTTTTTAGTCTGTTTAACTTCAAGAAAAAAGTTTTAAAAGGGACGTATTTCACACATTTTTAGGGATATAAAATAGACTTTCAATCCACTAACATACATGTAGCATTTCTCCTATGTAGGAAACATAATTAATTTATATGTATATTTATAAAGATATTAATTGATTATTTTATCAAGCTAAAAATAGATTTATAAATAAAGTTTTGGGATCCACAGAACTTAAGACATTTATATTCATATATTAACTAAGATAGCACATGGAGGTGTTTAATTTTAATTTCTGGCGTCTTGTGTAACCAGCAAGTATGCTAGGCAGCTGGGATCTCGGTTCTGTGTCTGGCAATGTGAATTGAAGTACAGTGTGTATTCGAAAAGAAGTAAGACAATCATGGAGTAATTAAAATTTCCAACGACAACTGCCAGATAAATTTGATACATGTTTTGAAATAAATCTTTGTACATTTTTCATTTTCTGAATTAAATTTCTTTTTTAAAAAATCAAAGAAAGGGGCACCAGGATTACATAAATTGTATACACTGTCTTTTGTTACATGGCTATTACAAATTTAACAAATAAAAAGCAAACAATGTAACTTATTCAAGTCTTAAAATATACTGATAGTTTGTACTCAAACTTGATTTTTATTATGTAATCATGCTTGCATACTTATAATTTCCTCTTTTTACAGAGTAAACATTATAATTATCATCCAAAAGCTGAACTTACAATTCCCCGCGCATTTTGCTACAAAGATTCTTTGTTTTTACTTAACTCATGAACTGGAATATTTGGAGATAACGAACGGTATTCAAGCTAAAAAAAACAACAAACCATAAAACAATACAAAATAGAGACAAAACAAACAATGACCTCCAAAATATAAGAGTTGGGATCAGGTGCCATGGAGAAGTGAGCATCCCCTGCCGACTGGTCAAACCAGCCGTGTGCTCCATGTCATGATCGGGAAATAACAGAAAAATCCGTCGTATAAATTTAGTGTGTAAATAATGGACTAACAATTAGTAGGAAAAACGTGAGTCAGCATTTGAATCGATGATAAATTGAATATAAGAACAGAAAAAGGCAAACTTTCAATTCTACCTAGGGACAAGAAGATATCAAAAGTCAAGAAGACGACAAGATTGTCAGAATGAATACTTATAGAACTAATGCTAAAATATCACAATTCGAGTGGCCTTTAATTATTCACTCTTTGATTTGATCTTTCTAAATTTAGATATAAATATTTTCTATGATTTTCATGAAAATCTGAAAAATCACAAACATCGTTAATAGCTATTTCAGGTTATTCTATTTTTACTGTCGTAGAAAAAATTTACAGCAACCCATCTTAACATGGACACCTAGGTATAAAAAAAACCTTCTTTGTCACAAAATAAAAAAAAAACTGGATATGCATTGAAAAAATAAATAAAATACACAAAATATTAAATCCATATTTATAAGCTGAATACTTGTTTTCTCAAATACGATACACATACTTTGAGCTTTGAAAATCTAACAAAAAAAATCAAAACAAAACAAACAAACCCCAGATATAAAAAAAAACAAAAACAGAAAATTAAACATTACAGTAAACCTTTTCTTTGATTAGAAAAGTATGACACGATCTTATATCATTCATCTTACATAATTATGTTCCCCAAACGAAGTTAGGGAACATATTGTTTTTACTCTGTTTCTTATTATTATTATTATTTTTCTTCTTCCTGGGTACTTACAGTGATCTTGTAAACTACACATCCGACTTAGGTAAAACCTTTTTAGGGTTAGTAGGCATGTTATGTAGATTTGCGGAACGAAGGTCATTTTGCGCGCACGTGCTTGCAAGAGCGTGCACGTGCAACATGTGAAATGACCGATTTAATTGATAAAGGCGTAACTTTTTACATTTTTGATGAAATGCTTTGAAACTCATAATATAAGGATATATTAGAAGCAAAGACAATATGACATGGTCAAAATTGCAAGATCTCACGCGCATGCACGTGCACTTCGCTCTGATTGGCTGAAACTAAAGTCTCTATATCTTTCTTGTTTTTTGACGAAATCCCTTGAAATTTTTAATATAGCCATAGTTTAGGATATCCTACAACACGATATATAGCAATTTTCATGAAAACACGTGCATGTACGTGCGCTGCAATCTGATTGGCTTAAACTTTAAATAGCTATAACTCCCTTGATTTTCAACCAAACAGGATGTGATTTGGAACATAGATAGATATAATGGACCTCTACAAGAAGGTATGGTCACCATGCACATTACACGAGCATGTACATTGCTGCAATCTTAAACAGCTATAACTACCTTGCTTTTCAACCAAAAAATATAGTCAAAACATGTATGCACGTGCGTGCACGTGAAATGAGTAAAATAAAAAAACACTTGAATGAGCGTTTTTTAAAAATACTTTTGGATTAAATACTTTAATATTTAGTATATTACAATATATAGATTCTGTAGACAATATCATATGGTCGTTATGCGCATGCATTCACATGCGCACATGCAATGCTAAAATTTGAATGAACTTGGTACACTTCTGGGTAAACGTTGTTAAAGTCTTAAATGCATAGAGTTTGTCTTATTTAATGAAGCTTACAGGGGATATGGCATCAAAAGGGAGTTGGGGAGCGTTTGGGGAACATCTGTAACGGTCCCCGTTACAATAAGCACTAGTTAGCCTTTGAATTTAAAATATGCAACAAAATACAACTCCACAAAAGGATTCTTGCATATCTATTTAAAAAATCAAATGCACTTGGATCGTCCTTCACTCAAGAAAAATAATTTGAATAATCCCTACTGTAACTTCTTCCTTAATTCATGGATCAAGGTTTGAATAATTTTATGTAAGAAACCTGCTGTGTCTGGCATGTACGTATAAGAGAAGAATTTTGCTGATCGTTTGTTCCTTTTTATCTTTTACAGAAGAAAAGCTTGACACCTGACCATGACCTTTAATTTGACTATTAACCAAAGACTGACTGATTAATCGGTCCAGTGATTCTTCAAAAGAAGTTGATTTAAATAAATACAAGTATATTTAAAAGAAGTTTAGATTTCGAAGAGAGAGATTCCTGCTTTTTTGACTCAGGTGAGCTATAATGACTCTAAATCAAGTTTCCCTCAACAGATTCATTAACAATAAATGTTCAATTCCGTTAGAAATGGACAGGAAATTCTCCTGAGTATGTTGTTTGGATTGCATATTTGATTAAAACGTTGGGCTTGGAGGGCATGATAAAAAGGAATATTTATTTATTTACTATCGTTAATAGCCGCTTTAGTTTTATTTGATCAGGAGGTCAACAACTTTTCCTTACCCTTTGATATAACTAATGAATGCAACAACTTAATCTGAGTCATTAATTGCGCGTGTATATTAAGATAATGAAATTTTGTCCACTTTTCCCCGAAGAAATAATACAAACCTCTTTCAGGGCTGATCATGAACTATGCATATATTGGAATGATCTATCCGTTTCACTAAACAATATAAAATTATTTAAGAATTTTAATCCAATCGAATATATTTTTTTAAAATACGGTAAGAACACATCACACAAAATAATTCATGAAGTTGTCAGATCACTACTTGTACAGCATGGATCTTTTTAAATGTCTCCTTTCAATCCACTTTTCAAACAATGTACTTTTTTCTTACACACAGTTGTAATTAGAGCCAACACAGGAACTAAAACAAACCCACAACTCCTGCTTACTTTCGAGCGCTTCAGGCACCTCGGTAAATAAAAGTTCTCCGTATTCCACACGAGAGCCAGGATTATCTAAAAAGCAAATACTGATACCCGATTGACTGGCCGATCAATGACAAGAATCGACTGGACAACTGGGAAATTAGACAAAAAAGAATATCTGTGTATATCTACATAAGATCATCGACTGCAGTGACAACGACCAATTGAGGCCGGGAAGAGCTAGTGTTTGGAGTACTAATTATTAATACATGTGTTTTAATGAACATTATACCGTTCCGCCTCCGTTCGGTTTTTTCATATTAAAATCAATGTAACGTTTAACAATCGAATAATAATATATAATATTATTTTTTTATGTATACATGGATAGTCAGAATTAGAGCTTAGTTATTGTTGATGAATGATGATAAAAAACAGCTGGAATTTGATTAATAGAAATCGATACACTTTTGAGTGGTTTTTATCCGATGATTACCTTTCAAGGTCTTTTTTTTTACCCATTGAATAAAAATAAAATCAATTAATTTTTTAATGACTGACAAAGGCGACATAAATTTTTAGGTTTTATGTGTGATTATAGGCTACATATGTGTTCATCAACTGACCTTTTGCTTAATTAACACTGCTAGACATTCCTAAAATGAGAACTGTTTGGGGAAAATTTAACAGATTGCAATTAAAAAAAAATCAATTTGTACCTTAGTAAGCTTAACCCCCACTCTCACCTTCTATTATCATTTGTAAAAAGGCGGGAATATTGAATATTTTAGTATTGTTTAGATCTTTTTAATAAAGGTTTGTGCTGACACGATGCTGAGTTATTATTGGGCTCATTATCACGCAAATATTACCAAACGATTTCTTTAAGCTTGCTAAATGCACAAGCCAGATTACAATCATAAATCTAAAAGCTATAGCGACGGACCATTATCAGAAGAAAATGAAAATAGTCATAAAACGGCTCCGATATTCAATATGCCGCTTTGATATGAAACAACCATAAATAATTGAGTGACCAGTCGAACACGCCTTTGCTCTTTCTTGTATTGAACGTTTTCATGTAAGAGTAATTAAGAAAGGTTGTCTTTTCAGAATTATTTAACCTCAAAACTTTTGAATCCACTGATCGACAATTTTTAAGACCATTTGGTCGCAAAAGGGCAAAACGTGAAGCTGTTTGTAACCAACAGCTGAAAGGTATGACGAGAAAAATGCCTGACTGACGTCCGGTCGATCCGTATACGAGATCAGATTTTAAGATTATTAGGGAAAATGAAAACATTCCCTATCTACCTTTATAAATTTGATAAGATCAAACCAGATCAATGAGTATACCACAGGCGGAAATGATGAGCTTGTTATCTAGGTGACCTTACCTGTGAAGGTCACGGCGTATGTCCAAAATCACTGATGTATTCAAAGCAGATGCGTAATCTTAATGCCAACAGATTTTAAAGGACACCTTAACAACTGTACACTGCACATGACAGTAGTTTTCAAGTTTATGAAATATCATTCTATTACGCAAGTCTGTGACAGTGTTTTGGAAAAACTTTGTAATTTATGACTCGCTGAAATTAAAGAGGTAGTACTTTTGAAAAAAGAACAGTCAATCTGAATGAGGAAGAAAACGCATACATTGTACATGCTGTAGTAATGGAAATTAGATGCAAATGTGCAAGACTTCAATGACTTATTTAAAAAATCTTGCAAATAATTTATAGAAGTATTGCTTGGATAGTTTTTCCACACCAGCTTTAAAATCTTATTTGATACGATTCCTGTTCTTTTTTTATTCAAAAAGTCATTTATATTCAATACAGTTAATGTATGGTAATTCATAAAAAAACCATAGCATAGCTTGACATGGAATTTGACTGTCGCAGTAGGTACTAGGAATTGCAAAAAAGAAATTATTTATATGCAATGAAAAAATATAATCTATGATTTACTACATAATAAAATGATATCAGAAGCAAATAAATCATATGTTTAAATAGTTTTTCTTTTTAAAAAGTGGAATGTTATGGGCATCTAAAAGGTATCCATGTAATAGAAATCGTAAAGAAACATCATTTTCATGAAACATGATATAAAATGCTATATTTCTAGTCAATATCCAATAAGGTTTTTCTCTACCAGATACTTCAATTTAGTGAGGTACACATAGAAACATTAGTGGACTCCAATTTGATTCCATCAAGCTGTCGTACCTCATTATGTAATCATTTCTCGGATTACTGTCCCGGATTCAGGGTCCGCGTACTTCCTGGTTTTATATTTATGAATAATTTCTGAGTTCTCGAATACCCGATACCAGTCTCAGGGTACGTCCCTCGATTCCAAATAGTATCAATGTTAAACGATTGTTCTAATAATATTTTATTCATTAAACCATTTCCTATGAACTGGATCGAACACGATGCATGTAAAATGTAATCGTTTTCGCTTTTGAACAACATCATATAATTTTACTGGTACATTTAAACACTGAGAAAAAAAAACAGTATGTAAAATAAATCACTATTTGATACCTTTATAGAAATTTAAATGTTATGTTTTCGTTGAGTTATTTTTTAATTTTGAACTTTTAGCTGTAAATGTTTTCTAAATTAGAAGCCCTACATCCGTATATAATGTAGTCTCCTTAAGAGTAAAAAAAATCGAATAGGAAGTAAAACAACATATAATCAATCAATCAATCTTTTTTAAAAGAGGATTTTCTTTTATGTTTGACCTAATTCTGTACAATGATTTTACAAGAAGAAAAAACATTAATTTTACTGATCATTAAAACTATAAATTGTAATGTTGAAATATTGAGAAAAATGCAGGAAAATGGACTCTCCGACGTAACCGACGTAAGTAGTTTAATGCTTTAAAAAACAGGGGGATCGAGTAATTATTGAACATTTCCTTAAATCAAAACATAGATATATAATCTTACCTTAAAATCAATTTATATGCTATATTGCAAAATCCATACTCCCATGCTATACTTCAAAATTTGTAATCCACATGTCTTGAAGAATCTATTCACTTTAATCGAATTTTAATCCAAACTTTATTGAAGGGGAATAGACGCTACGTTCTCCGAACTTGAAATGTTTTCATTAAATAAACATCACTAATTAGCAAAACTATCCTTCCGTAGGCCTACAACACACGTGCATTCATGAAAGCCAACAGTTTTGATTCTCCTAATTAGACCCTCGTTAGTCACAGAAAGAAGCGCCTTGCATTTTGCAGCAATATTGACATCAACCTGCTCATATATGCAGAACATGGAATTGCTTGTAATCTTATTCCTTCTATCATGTCGATGGAATTTTCATGAAGCAAATATTCTAATGACACGATTTCATGTGCACAGGTGAAATATTAAAGGTATATTGGACTATCTAAAACTGCACTTTAAGAAAAATTCAAAATTATTTTATCGTCTATTTGCGTAGGTCTATGCTAAGGACACTCTCTATTCGTACTTAACATGCATTTTTCATCATTTTGAATTGCAAAGTTTGACAATAAAAAGGTGAAGTGTTTCTTTTCTATATAAAATCAACACTTGTTTAACGTATATACAAGTTTGAAGTACTCACAGAAAATGTCAAATGAGGTTCTTTACCTGTAGAGGACTTCAAAGCTGACAATCTCCTTTTCTTTTTCCCCGATATAAAAAAACATTCAATGTTTTAAATTATATCACACTGACCTTTAATGTTTTTCCCCTTTTTACCTAATGCTAATTTTGATTTGCTGTTTATTTTCGATGCATTTAGAACATGAAGTCATTTACATGCATTAAGCCTTAATACAGAATAATTCTGCACCAGAAATAATTTTTGAAGTGAATTTTTATCATGTCTAGAATCTTTTACTTTCTTTAGTTAATATATAAAAAAGGAAAAATCAAGATTCCCACCCCCTAATATTTATGAATGAAAACTAAACGTCAAGTATTTTTTAACAGGGCTTGGAAACTGGAGGATCACTAATTTTGAAACAAAATAACCAAATGCAAAACATGAGAAATTGATATAATTAAAGTTCTTGTACATCTTAAAATGAAGTCAACTTTACATTACATGTTTTTCCAAACAAAAAATGACTTTAGTTGGTACCAAAAAATTATTTATTGATTAAAATAAAAACCTCTTTTTTGGACTACCAAATAACTAAAGCCAACAAAAGAGAATGATAATTGGAAACACAGCAATACCCTTACCTCAAAACACCCAAACTGAAACAAACGGAACAACAACAACAAGAAAAAAAAATAAACAATCAAAGCAACGAGCTAATTGCTGAACGAAAACCTTGCAAGAAGACGAGAAGCATAAGTTTTCAAGAAAATCTTCTATCTGACCTAAATATGTAGCAGATGGTGAACTTGAAACCCAGAAAAAAAAATGCTTAACCTACTCACTTTTTGACTTGAAAAGAATTCTCAGCGAACAACACTTTAGACGACAGCCTCACATTAGGACAGCTACTGGAATGTCTAACCTGCATAAGGGCTTGGCCGACAACAATCCGAGTTGTCCTTTGGAATGCTGAGATCGATTATTTCTTACACCTCGTTTCAACACCTTAATGCCAATCGAACTGTCCCTGGCAAGTTTAATCTTTATTCTAGTATGTCAAACATATTGCTTATAATTTGTGACAAGTTCTTATTTCTTTGAGCAAACCTTATTGAATGTAACAGTTGTGCCAGCTGGACCAGATGTTGCGTTATAATTTTGACAAAACATTTTAGAGGTCATCCCAATTTCAGAGGGGTGTTTAAATGTAAATAATAGCACAAATTCGTAGAATTTCTGATAAACGTGCGTAAAACGAAAGAACTAGGAGATACGTATGAATTGGAGTAGAAAATTTAATGCTGATATAATACGGTATAACAAATTTTCACAATTCTAGTCGTTTGAATTTGCGTAATATATGCGATGAGCTTCAAACGGAGAATGGAGATAACCGTGAAAATATCACTGGAAAGTTGAAGGAA